CGCATGGAAGTAAATATGACGTTATTGTTTACTTGCTTATCATAATATTCCAGCCCTGCTTACGTTGGGCATACGGCATTTGACATTGGTGTTGCTATATTACTATACTGTTTATGGTTAAACAGGGCCCAAATTGATAGGGAGTAAAACACGGAAGTGGAAGAGCTGTCCATGCATTGACCAATCACACAAGAGCTCACAAACACCAACGAAATATTTGTTGTTGTACTTAACAAAGGGGTTTGGCACAAAAAACAATGGAACGTTTATAGGCTTAACGTTGGATTTAGATCGTGTTATAATCCAAATCCCCCACTAAGACTTGTAAGCACCAATTTTCATATGATGAATTTTTAAAACAGCCACAATTCACAAATCTTGAATGTATAACCAAATGAATAAATTTGCGACATGATGTATATGAAAGTTTGAATATGATCAGTCAGGACATGTTGAAGACACATCTCCGGAAATGCATTTTTTAAAACAATTATACGTTGGAGTCCCATATTGTCTAATGTTTGTAAGTTTCAACAAAATCCACATGACAGGAATCAAAATAGATATCATCACGAAATGAACAAATCAAAGAGAGATCTATCCAAGGTACCTACAGTTGTATATACAGTTTTAAAGAAAACAAAAAAAGTAAAAAAGTGGATGCAGACAGCAATGACAGTGGAGGTAATGAGCAATCCAAAGCATTGTTTTATGATTGGTCATGCTGCTCTCCTTTGTAACACATTAGATAGACTGTAAACCTGAACTCACCTTTAGGTCCAGGAAAACCTGGAAACCCATCACGACCATCAATTCCTGGCAACCCAACACCTCCATCGCTTCCTGGTAATCCTTGCATGCCGGCTTCACCCTTGACACCAGGGAATCCAGGAAAACCAGGTGAACCAGTTGGACCAACCGGACCTGTTCAGAAGAAATACAAACAAAGTTAAAAAAACCACATGTATATGGATGCTTTTTAGATGCCACCAAGATATTTGACTGTGTCAACCATTGGTCCCTGTTCAGAATGTTGATTGACAGGGGTCTACCTGGATATATTATTCGCATTCCAATTGTTTGTACCGTACTCAGTTGTCAAACCATTAACATAAGTCCCTGTTTTGAAATACATGTACCTCCGAAAAAGACCAATCAAAGAAAGTTTAGAAAGAACTCCTGTGAGCTGAAAGTATTTGAGTCATATTCAAAATGAATTCAATATTCATTGAATGTACCAAGATGGACAATATCGGTCTATTTGTAGATCTAAGATCTGGGTCCAGAATGGCAGAAATTCTTGATTTTGCTGAATTTTAACATAAAAATTTGCCATTTGACCATTTTAAAACTGATCGTTAAAAGAATAAATGTCCATAGTGCAACATGATGTACCTATAAAATTTGATTGATCTTGGCAGGTCACAGATAGCCATGACTAACTTTAAATATTACATTACCTGCTAATCCAAAATTTCCTGGTCTTCCTACTTCACCTTTGGCACCCTTTTCCATTCCAGATCCTGGTTCTCCACGTGGACCCTGTAATCCTGGATTACCGGACAAACCATCATCTCCTGCAAAACATAGTGAAATTAAACAACTCATTCAAAATTACTATAATTATCCGATACGCTGTCCATCCAATTTATTTACGAGTCTCAAAAAATATCAGTTTCAGAAAAGTGTTGGAAGTGTCCTAACTTTTTCCAACTAGTCATTTTTAGAACATATCAATTTTTGTGGATGATGTGCTTATTAAAGAACATATGTCATGTTGCCAACTATGCTAACTAACCCCTAACTATGTTATTTTGACAGTAATTTTAACTGATAATTGCAGTGGGTGGATCGGTTGGTAACCATCCAATTTATTTACGAGTCTCAAAAAATATCAGTTTCAGAAAAGTGTTGGAAGTATCCTAACTTTTTCCAACTAGTCATTTTTAGAACATATCAATTTTTGTGGATGATGTGCTTATTAAAGAACATATGTCATGTTGCCAACTATGCTAACTAACCCCTAACTATGTTATTTTGACAGTAATTTTAACTGATAATTGCAGTGGGTGGATCGGTTGGTAACCAGATACGGATTTCTAAAGTTACCGGGTATAGGAAAAATTGATGATTTGATTTATATGTGAGATACCATGTGTGAATATTTGTTGTTAGCATGTATCACAGCAACCTGACCTTTAATGTGATCAAAAGTCAATATATAACATTTAACAATTATATCACTAGTTCTTGTCTGAGTGTAAAATCATTGTTACAGTAGTTTTGGCCAGTCACAAGTTTCTTAGCTTTGGCCAGTCATGCGTTTCTTAGCTTTGAACAGTCATGTGTTCCTTAGTTTTAGCTAATTATGTGTTCCTTAGCTTTGGCCAGTCATGTGTTCCTTAGATTTGGCCAGTTATGTACTTCTTAGTTTTGGCCAGTTATGTGTTCCTCAGCTTGGGCCAGTTATGTACTCCTTAGTTTTGACCAGTTATGTACTCCTTTGCTTTGGCCAATCATGTGTTCCTTAGCTTTGGCCAGTCATGTGTTCCTTAGCTTTGGCCAGTCATGTGTTCCTTAGCTTTGACCAGTTATGTGTTCCTTAGCTTTGACCAGTTATGTGTTCCTTGGTTTTGGCCAGTTATGTGTTCCCCAGCTTTGGACAGTTACAGTATGTGTTCCTCAGCTTTGGCCAGATATGTGTTCCTTAGCTTTGGCCAGTTATGTGTTCCTTAGTTTTGGCCAGTCATGTGTTCTATAGCTTTGGCCAGTTATGTGTTCCTTAGCTTTGACCAGTTATGTGTTCCTTAGATTTGACCAGTTATGTGTTCCTTAGCTTTGGCCAGTCGTGTGTTTCTTAGTTTTGACCAGTTATGTGTTCAATTATGTGTTCAATTATTATGTTATGTGTTCAAAACTAAGGCTTTGGATAGTCCTATTGGCCCTATTCTGTTCACCATCTATATTTCCCCTTGGG